GAAAAATTCTTAGACATAATTGTATGGTGGTATTACCTGGTCCAGTATCAGAACGTAAAAGTTTATCACCACGAGATGTCACGGTTAAAGCTATTGGAACATTTGGAAAATTAGGATCGTTTGGGGCTGATGGAAGCTTTTTATCTAGACATAACATTCTAATGCGACGTTTAATATTCAGATATTTTCTTCTTAGATATTGTCCTAATAATTATATTTTAGATAAACGAATGTCTCATAACAAAATAGCTGATAAAGATCGCAAGGATCGTCAAATACCTTTTGACGAAAAGTAAGATACCAATCATGTATACTTGCACTTGGTAATACCACCATACAATTATGTCTAAGAATTTTTCATTTCATTAATAGAATTGTTGTCTTAATAATTAATTTTCCTTTTCAACAGGACCAGATCGAATGTTAATATTTGCCAGTTCTGAACAATTATATATTTTACAATCATGTGATGATTTTCTTGTTGATGGTACATTTAAAGTATGTGTAGAAGTAGATATTTCTTGGGTTTCGGCGGAAATTTCAGTTGAGTGAAGTAAAAATAAATATTCCTATGTTTAGGTTGTTCCTCAGATTTTTTATCAATTATGTTGTACATGCCATCTATCGTGGACATGTTGTACCAGTTGTCTATTCATTGTTCAGTCGTAAAAATAGTGATACATATCAACGTCTTATAAATGAAATAGTAGAAGTTGCTCCATGCAGGTTTCCTGGTTCTATTTTACTTGATTTCGAAAAGGCATGTATTAATGCATATGACAGTAGTTTTGTTAGTATATCATTATCTCGTTGTTATTTCCATTTTCCTCAAAATCTTCATCGACAACTTCAGGTAACATTGAAGTAATTTAGTATAAAAATACGTTCGAATAGAATATGTTCGCTCTTCGATGTATAACTTGTTTGTTTCTTGTATATTAGGCATTAGGTTATCAGAATCGTTATCAAGAAGATGCTAAATTTGCTCATAACATTAATAAAATAGCTGCGGTAGCTTTTATTCCACCTTGTGATGTATTACATGCATATTCACGTCTTGCATTAGATCTTGATGATGATTACCAACATATTTTAAATTATTTTGAAGATACATATATAGGACCACTTCGCCCTAACAATGCACGACGTCAACCAACATTTAGTATTGAATTTTGGTATATGCATACAAGGACAACACAATCATCCATGCTTTTATTAATGCTTGAAAAAACTTTTGGGTTTATAACGGCGAAACTCAGGTTTTTGGGAACTCTTTCTTAATAAATTTTGTACTGCAAAACTTTATGAATACAACAGAAACGATTCTTTATAGTAAAACAAAGTAGGCAATGCCTGCTATGACAGTACGAAATAATTATATGCTCTTGTTCAAAAATCACTCGAAGGGGTGGATTTCTGTAGTCATAGATGTTTAGTAATAGCATCTGGGAAAGTGCAAAAATGTAATAAAATTCTTTTCAAATAAAATTAACTAATCAAAGGAAAAACTGCTAGTGCAGTTTCATACAAAGAAGGTAGCCTTACAAAGCGGAATAGTTTCAAAGTCGGTAAAATGGCGTATAAGGCTATTGTAGACGCCAGAACTCGCAAGTCACGTTAATATAGAGAAATTATTTTCTTTTTGCAAAAAACTTTGAACAGTAAAAGAGCACACGTTTCATCAAAATTGAACACCTATATGAAACATCGCTCCTAAAAGATCTATTTCGTTCGTTTTTACTGCAAGAGGGAGACAAGAGTGGCTTTAAATCATTTCTACATAACGCAAAGGGAAAGGAAAGATAAGTTTCTCTTTACTCTTCGAGGGTACGTTATGGAAGAATAAAAAGAATCTGCAAAAATAGTGCATAATTCTTATCAGTGGGAAAAAACTCAAAAGCAGTTTCAACAGATTGAGTAAATATTTACATGAATATGGGATTGAGTGGAGCAATATGTACAGTCTTATCACCAATAAAACAAAAGAAAACTGGAGAGTGAAGCAAGACAAGTATGGCAACAAATTCTTGTTACAACCATATAGGAGTGCTTGAGACATATTGTTCCTTTTTCACGGAACAGATCGAAGAACAGATAATTGATGACGACGATGAAGACAACGAAAACGAAGGGATGAACTTGTTCCTTTTTTCAACAAACTATGGCAGTGGAGGGATGTGATTTTGGTAATTTTGTGTGTCTTCTGAGATGGTATATGCGCACCTTGAAGGAGGTTCAACTGCTTTTAAATAGAGTGAATATTGAAAAAAGGTGTCCTGCGTTTATTTTGGTCAGAGAATAGAAAGAGAGATATGTAGATAGATGAGAAGGCAGGAAGGGCACAGTACATGAAATCAGTGAATAAAATATAACGCGGATCTCCTTCAAATCTACGGAACCCTTTTTACAGGCGACTGAAACAGGTTTGATACGGAACCAAAGAATGGTTTCTGCGTTGTCCCGAGAGGAAGAGTCATTTTTTGGTTTTACTCAATGTTAATTTCCCAAGTAAAGTAACAAACATTTGTTACTTGTTACTAGTAACAAAATAACAAACTAATGTCCATTTCAAAAAAGAAAAAGCGTGAGTGTTTTTCTAATAGCTTTTGATGCAAACAAGATAGAGACATGCGGTTTTCACAGTTGAAAAGAGGGTGTCAAGACGCATCGAACCCTACATGATAAAGTTTTCCAACAAGCTTTATGAGGATTTCGAGCTTTTGAACAATCGAGCTTTTGAACATCAGTGCATTAAGTCCAATCATGAACGTGAATTTTCGACTTTCAGGAGTGCACTAGAGGCGCCAATCGAAGATCTACGAAACTGCGCAAGGCTCAGATTTTTAGCTTTATCCGTTCAGGAGT